ATTTGTTCTGTCCTTGCTCATAACATATTATAAACAAATAATGCACATTATTACGTGTACTTAGACAGTGGTTTAATTATTATTACGTGGGCAGAGAATGGAGTTATAGTTGGGAACACTCTTTCCCGCTTCTTGCAGAGTTATAAACTGATTTTTCTCATATTTTGGCATACGTTTTTATGACATTTGTTCATGCTGACAATTGTATAATTTTGCTGTTGGAAGGTTAGGTAAACGAGAGATAAAATCGAGTTTTTAAGTTAAACGTCCACGAAAATCAAAGTTTGATTTTCAAATTGTGAATTTGTATTTTAAAAATATGTACATAAAATAGATTATGTCTTAAAATAAAAAATATAATTTATATAAAAATGTATAGGACTTATATTATTATTATAAGTTATTCGAATTTCAAGCAGAGTTTGACATTTTATTCTTGATAATCTTCTCCCTTGAAATAATTTTAAAATGTCTACAGTAATCGCAGTTCCTAGCTCACATTTACGATAAACCTACACTGCAATGATTGGTGATACCTATAATGTTTTTTGTTATAATTATTATGAGTATTTAAAAACATTCATATTATCACATACATTTTATCTGCACTTTTACTGTGCGGTTGTAAAACAGTTGCTGCAGAGAAGTTTATGTGGCTATATATTACGCTCTATATGTGTATTTATATCAGTGCTGTATTTATTTATCCCCACAGATTTGTTTTACGATTGAAAATTGAAAAATATAGGCTGCTTCCTGCAGCCGCTAGCTGTAGCATTAATACACTATTATATTATTATAATACATCTATCACGTCGTCCGTTTCAGCTACCTACGGCCACTAATATGTAATCTGAGTATTACATTTACTTTAACGACAACTAATAAATGTGACATTATTTTTCAATAGGTTCATTGTGTTTTTTAATGACTTTTACGAGAACACGTCACGTACCGGCAATTAAAATGCATGTTATTGGCGTAAAGACAATTAATAAGACTAAACGTAAAAGATTGTAAACATTTAACGATAATATTCCACTTGATGATAAAGATTTATCAAAATAATGAAAAACACGAACATCTGTAATGCAAGGTGATTATTTTTTTACACAATTATGTGGACTATATTATAAGTACGCAAAACTTATGATGATGACTCGGACTGAGAAATTGCAGTAAAAATAAGAGTATAACAAAACTTAAAACCCTAAAATCTTTAAATTTGAGTAAGATGAAAAAAAATAGGTATACTTATAGGTCGTAGGCGCTATATTTGAAAAATATATTATAATATTATGTGTAAGCACGGATGTGACTACTGGACGCGTTAGGATATTCCACTTATCAGCTGCTCTGTAAAATTTTCGTGTACAAAATTCGTTTTCAATGTTGTTTCTAAATTATAATTCATAATATCATAATATGCGATAAACGATGTGTAATTGAGCTAGGTACAAATAAATTGGCAGCAATTTTTAGGACGTCAGTCGGTATCTCTCAAGTGCTAGGAATCATTATATATTAATATTATACAGCTAGAAAATAATATCATATTGCGTTTAGCCGACGTCTATAACTCGCGCGTGCGGTAACGTGACGAAAAATACATTATTATCGCGATGGGTATTTATAATATTTTAAACGTATCGAAAACTACTCCGATTTTCCCACGCCCGCGCAGATTGGTATTTTCAATTTGTTTTCGAATGGTTCTTTTATGTCCTTCCTCATCACGCGCACGTCTCTCGACCTATGTATATATACTACATACATACATACACATACACTACTGTATAGACACTGTGACGACTGCTAACTGTTGGTGTTGCTCTATTATATCTTATTATCGTTATTATTATCATTATTATTATTATTATTGTGTGTGTGTCCATCGGTGATCGGGTCTGTCGGTGCCATCGTCGCGGACCCGTGAAGAACGCGCACGCCGCACTCACACACACACACTATACATACTTACACTAAACAACTATACACGTAGGGCATTGTACAATTGAAATCGTTCGCTTTGTGCCAATGACAATCGTCCTACTATATAATATATTATATATATATATATTATATAATGTAGACAAACAATGGCTAGTTAAGCACAAAACGTTTCCACAACACTTCAATACGAATACTTCCCACGCGGACCGACGACGGCGACGTGTCTTCCTCCTCGCTCCGCGCGACGGGAAGGCTCAGGGGCGACCGTTGAGTTTAGTCACGATCGCCAACTCGCGTCAGGTGCATACATACCAGCGGGAGACGCAGTAGTCTGCAGATCCGCTCATAATATTGCGATCAAAAATGACTTCTGTAGTTAATTCGATGTTTTACTACTTTTAATCCGTCAGACTTCAAACGAACTCGTATTTCAGAAATTATAGAACTGCTAAAAATCTATAGTTTTGCGGACATTTGTATCCATATTATAATAAACTGTCCAAGTTTTCATTCCATCATTCACACCTGTCCTCTCTACACGATCAATACACTGATGAATCGTTCACGTTAAACGGGTAGGTACACGATATACACAAAACATGCGCGTATAGTAGGTATCTATAATTTTAATACGTATATTATGTACACTAGACCACTACTCTTTTTTTTGAAATTGGCGATTTATCGCAGTCCACATGCGGGAAGCGGAATAAGTTTTTGTCACACGGAAATGCTTTTACCGCGGGTAAAACGTCCGGAAAATCCTTTTAGAGGAGAAAGAGCGCACTACTGCGGCGATTAATCACGTATCGCGCGGATGTATGCGTGTCTTGTTATCTGTCGAATAAACCGACGAATTTTCAGCACAGTTTTTCTTTCATGATTACTCGTATACATTTGCTATCAGTGCCACTGTAGTTATTAATTGAACTCTATTCGATGAAAAATAAATAAATATCGTTAGTACAAAATGTATGTGTTTATCGCTTGGTACGACACAACGATTTAATTTAGTCTCGAATTACGGAAATTACGATATTTTTGTTATATCATGAGGTGTTATACATTACTACATTAGGCCACTTGGTTCTGTTCTAATTTAATTTCTTAGTTTTGTAGTCATAAAAGCCTCGTACTTTTTGAGAGTTTGCATTTTTTGCAGTCTAGTGAGCATTGTAATACAGTTCAAATACGATCCACAAAACAAGTTCTGAGGTCATATTATTCATACTGTATATTTATATATAATAATATAATAGTTTGTTATACATAGAACTTAAAATAAACATGTTATTATTAATGTGCTTGGAGTTGGAAAAGTGTTCAGTAATTATTTGTGCTGACATATAAGTTAGGTATATTGTGTATACGGAATATTATGATAAATCATATGCATGACATTTTTTAGGAAGCATTTGGCTTAGTTTTAATAGTTTGCAAAGTATATATAAATTGTTTCGTAATTAATTAACTGTTATATCTTCACTAAATATCGCTTAATTTAAATTAAAACATATTGAATCAATTTTAATGTTCATTAGCCATCAGTCATTACTCATTACACTAGAAAAAATATGTTTTCAAGAAAAAGTTCGAAAAAGTCTTTTGGTGTATTTCTCATCGTTGAAGTATATGAATATTTAAAAACTTTTGAATCGTAATTGAATGTATGTAAGAAGATAGATAAATGTATTTATTTGAATTTGTATAAGAACAATAAATAAAATCTATTGTAATTACGAATTACTTATAATTTGTTGTTTCGATTGAATTTGTAAGTATAGGTATGGTAAGATATTATAAATACGATAGTACGATAGTAATACAGAAGGTTAACACTATTATACATATTTTAGTTATTAACGTAGGTATTCCTAAATCGGTTAAATAGCTTAGCTTGGTGATTTATGTGGGACAAACATTTCTTAATGGATACTCCAAACTTCAAAGCCACATTTTATGACATCGTAAAATAAGAAAAACTCCATTATGATTATATGATGTATTTTTTTCAAACACTTATTACAGTTACGTCCTGATTTATACACACGAAAACTACTAAATTTAGTATACACATACAAGACGGTTTTTAAATGTGTCTAATAATGTCTTACCGATACGCGGGTGAAGACTTGGTCCGTAGTCGCATTAGCGACAAAACTACTGTGGCGAGCACAATTTTAATATGATGACGATAATGATAATAATATTAATATAAAAACTTGTATAAATATATAAAATTATTATACTTTATTATAATCGTCATCGTTGAATAATCTCAAATTTATGTTAAAGTAAACCGAGTCTTTTATAAATTATGCTCTTGTATACGCGTTGGATCCGCGCGTCAGTCGCGTATATTTTACGACTTTACAACAGATTATATTATTATTGTATATAATATACCTGCTGCGGCGGCAGTGTCTCCTGAATAGCGAGCGCACCATTAAAAGTACGCGAAGAACTATAAAACATAATATACTAACGCGAGATGTCTCGTCGGAAGAGGCCTATTGAAACGTTTTAATAATGTCTTTTTTTCGAGTTAAATACTTGGAGAGATAAACTAGAATATTAAAATGATTACGCTTTGCAGTGTAGAGGTACCTACATATTATACCGGTATAAATTTTAATGCGCCGCGTTCGATTCGTTAGGTATGCGAATTATTGTACGTCGCATTTATTTATCCCGAAGCAGCGCGCATCTCTATTATTATTAATATGAAATTATACTTTTATTTTGTAAGGATTGTAAGGATTGTATACTATTATTTAAAATGCGGAACGGCCTGCAGCACCAGTTGGTTTTTCGCAATTCTAAATGATAATAGTTGAACGGTGTAAATAATTGCAGCAGTGGTACTGCAGTTGTAGATACGTTATATTTTAAATTTAGCAGCAGGTATACTTATGTTATGTTCGAGTAAAAAAAAATTGTTCTTTCATACCTAATGGTTATACCTATCATTATTCCGAATAGCATAAAAACGTTAAAATATTGTGTTATTTTAATTTTATCAGATTTAACGTTTTTGTGTTACTCACCCCTTGTGGGTTGAAGTGCGATCCGGTGGATATGCATCCGTTGGTAACATCTCCCTTCTCGTGAACGTGGAAACCGTGTGGTCCTTCGGTAAGACCGGACACCACTCCTGTTATCGTGACCGGGCCACCGCGATTAGCCTGGATAAATGTCACGTTACCGCTCACCTGGCCGGGTCCCTTGAGAACGACTATGGCTTTGCGTTCTTGCTATACGTTTAAAAAAGAAAAACAATTTAAATAAATGTTAATAAGTGAAAAAAAAAATGCAAACACAATTACAAAACACATTACTTTACAGGTCAGCGCACGTATCAAAAGTATCAAAACGTGCTTACATATGTATGGTACATAAAAAGCCTATTTAAAAAAATTACTATTTTAAAAATGTAGATATAATTCTATTCTGGTCTACTACTTGGGATATACCAATAACACGACAAAGAAAAGGGTAAAATATTAAAAACAAACTAATTAAAAGACGATACACAGCATGAATTGAAAAGTTTTTCATTATTGCATTTAAGCCCTCATACTAAATAAATATTATATATATATATATATATATTTTTTTTTTATGAAATGGTATAATGATTTAACAAACAATAAAAAAAAAGTATTCGTTTGATGACAAATAAAACTTTAAATATTATCAAAGAGAAAGTTTTATATTTAGCAATTCCATAATTTTTTTCTGTAAAAATTATTTCCACAATGTTTATAGAGTATTATAATGGCGTTTCACAAATAAATTATTATGTTTTTATATCATAGTACTGCCGGAAGTATGTAATTAAATTTAATAAAGTATGGGAGTAAGGAAGAGTAAATTCGAATTATTTTTTAGTATAGAATGTATTGAAAAATTATAATTTTGAGTTTTGACACATTCCCTGTTTTTGTTTTTTTACTAAATGTATAATCAATATTGAACTTATTATGTATTTCATCTTTAACAGTTCGAATTTCTGTTGTATAATAATTGATATACCGAAACGCTTTACTTATAAAATATTATACATATGTACCTACATCTTTTGTCACGCATAAAATATTTCGTGTTTATCATTTTTTTCCATCATTAAAATTCAATTTTCAACTCGCATTAACAAATATTATTTTAAATAAAAAAAGTTTATTTGAAATTTCAAGAAACCGCGAAACTATTATACGAATAAGTATGTAGCCCCATATAGCTTCAGTGCAGGTAATATACCTATATTGCGTTATGCATACTATATCTTTACGGTAAAGACGTGTACGGACAATATAATAAATGCAAATGTATTTGTTCAAACGAACAAATACAATTGATTTCGTTTCGAAAGCAAATAATAAAAAAAAGAATAAAAAATGAACTATACGTGGTAATAGTACTACTACATACACGTAATGTATATATATGTAGGTATATTCAATTCTTGAATATTAAATGAGACGGTCGAGGAGAGAGATGCGTGATATATAGTCAAAAAACTTGGAAGTTTTGGAGACCACTAAAGTTCAATGCGCTGTGTACGGTTTACGGTCTTACAATATTATATTATTATTATTATTTATTATTATTTATTGTCGACGACATATAATATAAATATATTAGTTAGGGTGGGTGGAAGGGTCTATTTGAGCTGTCATATACATATATTAAGTCTAAATAGTCATATATTATGTATTATGTACATCTCAGATTGATACAAATATACGATTTTCATAGTCGGAGACGAATCAATTGACCCGATATGTCAATAAGTATACCTATAAAATACACATATAAATGTATATTTGTATATATATATATAATATGTAATATGTGTGCGTCATATACTTATGTACACGGAAAACCGATGGAAAATAAAAATGTAATACAACAAAATCGATTGGCACTGCAAATTGCAATGTATAGAAGCGTGTACACTGCCGTTGAGCGTAACATATTATTGTTATTATGTATATAGCATTGCAAATGACGTCGTCAGTGAAAATGTCAAGACGAGAAGTGAAAAAAACTGTATATAAATGAAAAAGCATTTTGCCGGCGTGTTGGCCGACTGTAGACGCCGCCGCCGCCGCCGCNCCTGAATCATTTTTTATTATTTAGAAAAAATGCCGCGAACTCAAAGAAAACGTCTTGGATCAAGACAGGACCGTATTACCGCTTAGGCTGTATAGGCTAAAGCCTAGGGCGGCAAATTTTGAAGGGTGGCAAATTTTTTTTTGATGCGACCCAAAAACTACGTTGAGATATTAATTTTAAGTATAAATTATAAAAACATGCAATAATATAATATATGAAATAATATTATTAATTATAAAGTATAAGAAAATATATTTTTAGGTTCTAAAATATTATGCAGGGTGTAACAGAAATATATGACAAATAACAATATATATATATATTACAATAGTCGACTGGGCGGAAATTCGTTGCGATAATGGCACGGCGAATAGGCCGCGGAATTGAACGTATTAACGTAATATTATGTTATTATATTAATAGTAAATCGTGAAGGAAAGAAGCATTAAAACCCGTATCCCATAATAATAATTATTATCATAGTAGTAATGTAGAATGTGGGGAAATTTCTGCGATAAGCGATGACGTCTCAAATATTATATCTAAATTATAAGATACTCGTACTAGGTTTATTATTTTGTTATACACCACGCCGTAACGAAATTGACTGGTCGTTCATTTGCATTTGTTATAAAGCCGCGATTTCTTAAGCCTTAAGCCGGTTACACACCTAGCGTTTTCGACGCAGCGTTCGAACGCCTAAAATTAAACATCCGTCTACATATGGCCATATTCACACCAAGGGAAAAACCGCGCGTCCGAACGCATACGAACGCATCGAAACGCGCTGGTTTAATTTTGAGCGTTTTGTACGCGGAAATATCTAAAATTAAACATAGTATTTTCCATGTTATCATTCACACTGCGCGTTTTCGACGTCGCGTTTTGCAGCGTTTCTATGTATTTATTCCATTTGTCAATGAATCACCATCACGACATAACGCATACTGACCATATATTTTTCAGTTTAAATTACATTTATTTTAATTAGTAAAAAGACCTAGGTATATTAGGCAAAATGTTTGATACAGAACTCTTTATAATAGAAGTGAATAAGGAAGAAAGTATTTGGAACATAAGTAAGTTTGTATAACATAAACAATAATAAAAAATATACAAAATGATTCTTGTATGTTTTAATATTAATTATTTCATAGAATCAAAACTTTACCATGATCGTGTAGAGAAACATGTCAGCTGGAGAAGAGTAGGGAAAGCTATGTTCAATGATTTTGAAAATTTTGCAGAAAAAGAAAAAGAAGCAAAAGGTAAGACATTAAAATAATAACATTTTGTTTCCATTACGGCATTACAAATATCCAAACCTATATAGGTGTGAAAATAAAAAAATGATTATTGGAGTAAATCTAACACAGTTACAACATTTAATGATAATAAATAATAAAATATAAAACCATTTGCTTAAAAATGTATGACATATAAAATGGTCATATTATTCAACAACTTTGTTTTGCCAACTTAATGAAAATTCCGGTTTGTTTAGATATTTTACAAAATATTCTCTAACATTTTTTGCTTCTAATGGAGCATTTCCAACTCCTTTTTTTTCATTCACATCTCCAAACGTACAATTAAGTGTATCTTCGATGTGAATTCCATCTCTACGACGCACAAAATTATGCAAGACACAAGATGCTTTAGTTATTAAAATAGCAAAATCCGGTTCAACTAAAATATTTGAATGAAATACTCTCCATTTATTTGATAATATACCAAACGTACATTCAATATGTTGCCTCGCTCTAGACAAACGGTAATTGAAAATACGTCGTTCATCATTTAAATTTCTCCCAGGAAACGGCCTCAATAAATGCTTGCTCAAAGCAAAAGCTTCGTCTCCGACTAACACAAACGGCTGAGGATCACCTTGTTCGTCTCCGGGCAATGTTTTTTCACATGGAAAGTTGACGCGGCCAGAATACAGTTTTTTACCAAAAGATGATTGTTTGAAAATATTACAATCGCTTTCTTTGCCATATGACCCTATGTCAATAACGCGAAAACAGTAATTTGAATCACAAATTCCCGTAAGAATTATTGAGAAAAAATTCTTATAATTGTAATAAAGCGTTCCACTGTTTTGAGGACATTCAATTCTAATATGCTTGCCGTCTACAGCACCCACACAATTAGGAAATTGGCTTTTTTCGAAATATCCAGCAGCAATATCAATCCATTGTTCCGTAGTAGGAGGTGCCATTTCAATTGGGTGTAATTGTGTCCAAATAATTTCACATGTCTCGCGAATAATTTTCGAAATGGACGAAACACCCATTAAAAATTCAAAGTGTAGAGCTGAAAAATTGGTCCCGGTTGCTAAGTACCTAAATAAAACAAAAATGTATACATTATTATTATCAGTCTTGTGAATTATTCGAATAAATATTTGAATATTATTTGTATTCGAATAATATAGGTACCTATATTAGACATCTTTATGTTTATTCTGAATAAAAATTTAAAATTGTGTATTCAAATACTCCTAACATTATTAAATTAAATTAATTAGGTATTTATTATAACAGAAAGTAATTAATTAATTTTTTATATATGTTAATATTTGTATTTAATATTGTTAAATACTATATAATATATAAAGTATGATTTTTTTTATATTAATATTTTATATATTATTATAATACAATACTAAGTTTGAAGTATCATTTAAAAAAAAATTAATATTTTAATTTAATGTTTTGAAATACAATATTAATTTAATATAATTAATATATTGTTGTTTTTTATATTCAACTACAACTTACGAGTATTTTATGCATTTCATTTTTATTACATATATATATTTTTTAGCAAACTTAAATACTGATTGTAAATCACATACTAATAATTAGTCACTTACCTTAATGTAACAGTTAGTCTTTCTTCAGGTGGAATAGATAACCGTAACACAGTATCTTGCTTTTTCAACTTTCTTCCAATGATATCTAACTGAATAATCAATTACAATTTAAATATAATATAACCAAACCCATGTTTTAAGAAATAAAATAGTAATTCAATTCAAGTTCTTTACACTTCATACGTATTTGATTTATATAAAATAATATAATTTGATACTTACCAGCTCATCAAATGTTTTAATTGACATACGGAAATATTTAAAAAACTCTTCTGGATATTTCCTTAATGTCAAAAAAGTTACTTGAAACTGTCCTTCACGCGGCCTTTTTAAGTTAAGTGGATGTACCCACCAACGACGCTTAATTTTTTTATCTTTTTTTTGTCTCATATTAATTTTATACAACGAATACACTATACAGACAGCTTCTGCATCATTTAAGTTATTTAAGGCGTCCATATTTTCAGTAAAAAGCAAAAATATAATTCCGCGATCGTGTGATGGTACTGAACGAAACTCGAGTTATGAACGATTGGCAAGTTCCGAGGCGTGCGTAGTGAAAAATATTTTTCCCGCGCGTTTGAAAACCGCGAACGTACGCTAGGTGTGTAAGATATAGATTCAGCGTTTTGAACGCTGCGTTTGAACGCCGCGTCT